ATTTCTTTTGTATACTTTTCACAGTTGTCTATGCATCTTGTATTGTTTTGTACCAAATTGTCATAAGGGCAAAACTATTTGCCTTGCATACCTGTGCAATCCTTTCATGAATACATTATTGCATTCACTGATCTAATAGCTAGCAACACTATACCTGGCCAAGAATAATTCCATCATTCTTCAAGCATACTTCCCCAACTTCCCTCATTTGAAGGAACTTCCTGTGTTCTGCAACCAAATCCCTCTGTCCCTCTCTCCTTCTCAGTTAGACTCATTAGACCTAACATGGGTCTGCTTGGTTCAGCTAAACGGAACAGACACAGATGACACAAAACTGACATACGTTCTGTACACTGAGTGGATGGAAAATCATGAAAAAGGGGCCATAGGATCACCTTGCAAGAGCAGAGGCTTGCAGTGGCAGCCAAATTACTTGTATCATGACAGGTTTCCTTTCATGCCATTCTATTAAAAAAACAGACTGAGTAGACAGCAAATTTTGGTAGATAAGTCCATTTTTTAAATTATGATGAACTTTTGCTTTTCAAGTTTCTGCACTGAAACCAGCACCCCTGCAGGCATTGTTAGTGAGCTCTATATGAAGATGTATGATTTAATCGGACAAGTTAACACTCCTGCCAAATTGGCATTCCACTAATACTAGCTCTAAGCGTATGACAGTTTGTGACAAGTTTCTGTAACAACTCCAGAATTACTGTATTCTACCAAATCAGCAAAAGCATGTAAAGAGAGTGAAAAAAATATGTAAACTGTATATTTGTATAAAAGATCAAGGAGAGTGGAATCACTTCAAAAGATCTCTGCATTTACATTAGTTCTTCATATTCTTTGAGGCATGTGAAATGTTCAATCTGTTTTCTGTTTTTAGCAATAAAGCATTTGCATAATCAGAAAATCTACATAATTCACACAGAGTCACTAGGAGGATGTTATGTTGTAGTCTTGTTTTCTGGTCTTCAGAAACATGATTAGATTTTTAAGGACCTGTCTCACGCGGTCAGCAGCAGATTCTGTCAGCTTAATAGAGTCGGCGATCTGCTAGTAGGATTATAGGTTATAGGACAACAGTCATAAAAAGGCTTGTTTTCTGTTATGTTGATGTGGAAAATAAATAGAAATTCAGTAATCAATATTTCAGTTTTGTCATATATACTTAATTAACTGCTTTCTACATAATTATAAATAGCACCGAAAATTATTGTGATGTGGACATTGGATCTAATTTGCTGTTGGGAAGGTTAACAATAATTTTTTTCCTGAAAGAAATATGGGGTCTGCCATGGATAACCACATTTTAAAAATGCCAATTTAACTGGCTGCTATACTGATCTAATAGCTAGCAACACTATACCTGGCCAAGAATAATTCCATCATTCTTCAAGCATACTTCCCCAACTTCCCTCATTTGGAGGGACTTTCTTTCATCTGTAACCAAATCCCTCTGTTCCTCTCTCCTTCTCAGTTGGCCCGATGTGCCCGATGATCTGATGTATAAATATCTATGAAAATGTTCTATTTATCGATCAAAAATGGTATTAAACACGAAAACCTTCATCCTATCACTTAATTATCTTGTTTGCTATTTTAAAAAACAAAGCCAGCATGGAAAAAAACGATTCTGCATTTAACCAATTATTTTTGGCACATAAATCTGCATAACTGGGGGCGTAATGAGTGTGTCCATTACCTAAATACATTGTGCTTGAAGATGACCCTCTTTCTCATGTCAGAAAGTTTGGAAGTATGAGTATGCAGATCAGCAAAATCAAAATAAAGTCAAAATTCCTTTTCTGCATGCTTGTTCTGGGTTACTGAAGCAAATGTATTAAAGCTAAAGGGTCATCATGATAGATAGGCAATCAGCATTTCCATGATGAGAAGTTCAGGCAGCCTCTAAGTTTTCTATGGAAAGGTTTCTTTTAGGCTCCCTTTACACATGAGCAGTAACTACATACAGGTTAATATAATGTGCAATATACTGTGCGTTAACGACCATTGTGTGTGTATTTTAATATAATACACTGCCAATGTGGTACATTTGCAAGAAACACCACAACACACGCATGGTTAAGACATTTTACTGCATGTTACCACAACACAGATATGTGAAGCCAGTCGTAAGAGCCGAAGTTACAAGTCATGGATCAGTGTGTTATTTTTTCATATAGAGTTTACAGGGTTTAGTTAAAATCTATTCATGAATGCCCCAGCTTCTAGTCTGAGTCTGACAGGAAAGGTTTTTTTCTCCTGGCTTGAAGCTGGGGAATAACCAAGGTGCAACAGCACTACCCAGAAAAGTTGGAAAGCTGAAAAAACAAAACAAAAAATACATGGCAAGGAAATCCATTGCTTAGAGGAAAGTTTCTGAGAGGTAAACACCCTCAACATTAAAGATGTATCCACCCATCTTTACTGCATAAAGTACAACACATTTTATGGAAACCAATGAATGAAAGTCCTTACAATATACGTATATTGATTATTGCATTTATGTGTACTTCTCCCATAAATGTAACAAAAAAAAATAAACATGTTTCTATTAGATGCCATTTAATGCTATAGATGTGACAGCTGTAGGTGGATTGGGCACCTTCATATAAATGCAAATAAACATATGCTGTCAGCATAGAGTAAGCACTGTCAGCATTTTATATTCAATAAGGTTCTATCATGCCTGGAAAGACCACCTACTGGACTTTATAATGGCATATACTTCATATAATATTACATTTGCATGTAAAGTTGGTATATTTGACAAGTCTGTCAGCTTAAAATAGTCCAATATTTTCTATATCCACCTGACAAATTATTTGTATTTCTTTAACCATGATTATTTTATTTTCTGATAGGAAATAACAAAACTATTTGGTGTCTAAGTGATGTGCTCAATATAGCGCTGTCCCTTGCTACCTCTTCCCTGTAAACGCACTCCCCGATCAAAAATTAGTAGAGAGAGAAAGAGCAATGAGAGAGAGCAATGAGAGAGCTTGAGGCGGAGACTTAAAAATTTAAAACTATAAGTGTTTGGGCAAAAATATCAGCACGTACTTTATTGGGGAAATGTATTTTTATGGACTGATTGTGTTGAGTGTAAAAACACAGATATTTTAATACTAATTTTACCTTTAATCTAACCCTAAAAATTAGACAGAACAAAATTCTACTATCCTCCTATCCACTAAGGATGGTGCCATTTTGGTCTCTATTTAGATCTGCAGTGGCTATGGTGCTACACACGTGACGAGCTATGACACTAGCCATTTGAGAATTGAATGTTCATCTGAGAGATGACATAAGCATGCTGGCAACTGTAACTTTTATTATCATTGCCATATCTTGGATGTGGCATATACCGCACATACACTAGTAGGCAAAGTGGAAATGAAAGCACTGCAGAAAACTTTTTTATATTTGATTAGAGATCTAATTGAGCATTTTTAACTTGTGCTTTATTTTGGGAAGCAGTTATATCTGTGGGTTTAATTGTGTTTCCAAGAAGACTTAAAAGAAAATAGAGGTTGCTATTGCTGACCTCTGTTTCTGAAAATGCTGTTTTTTTGGCTGTTTTCTGTTGACATTATGAGGCACTGATCTGGCACAAGTAAGGAGAGCATTCTGATTTGACTTTGGCTTTCCAATCTGCATGCTTTTCCAGGTCAGCGACTCACAAAGTACTAAAGCCAGATAAAGCTAGTATTCTTAAAAGAAAATGCAAATTGTTAACATTAACCTATAGCTCTTTAATTAAACCTATCAATAAACCCTATGCCTCTTACTTAACCCTAAATTAACATCCCAACCCTTGACTCTAAGCCTAACCATAACTTATCCTTCTCTATCAGTAAATGTACTCCCAAAAAATATTAGCACTGAAACCAAATAGTACCTGACCAGGGTCTTTCAGTGCAAAATTCAACCAGCGCTCATATTTCATAGAATGATTCAGCAAAGGCATAGTTATATCCTTGTCTTATCCAGGTTACTGCACATCTGTATCAGGAAAGTAAATCTCCTACACTTAGAGCAGGACTTACCATTATGCACTGTATGCTTGTGCCTACAGGTAGCACTGAGAAATAGGCAATGCATTTTTTTCCCCACGATCAACAAAAATAAAAAATCAATTATTCATATAGAAACAATGTTCTAACATGGTTAAAGCTGCACTCTGGGCAATTATAAAAGATGCACATTTATGCAGCTGTGTAGTGCAGTGTAAGTACCTTAATTTGACTGGGAATATACTCTTGGAGTCTATGAACCACAGAGTTCAGATTGGGAAGGGGGAGACAGCAGGAAGCCAATCGGTCATGCTGCAGTGCAAGGAGCATGCGGATAGGAGCAAAAAGCAAACTGCTGCTTCTCTTTTCACTGTCTATTCACAGAGTGAGGGCAGGGAGGAGATTTGTAAATGTTACTGAACTGCAGCAGGGAAAGATCTGGTATCTTCCCCTGCCAGATAGGGTTTTGCTGTGTGGGAAAGCTGAGTAACTCTCTGGACAGAACTGACAGAAATACAAATCTTGACAGTTAAACAGCTCCCATACATGTATTTCATCTTCATATTTACCTATATGTCTGGAGTTCAGCTTTAAGGACTATTAAAACAAGAAAATGTCCTGTGTAAAAAAGGTGATCCCAGCACAGAAGGATTCTTATGTATGCTAAAGGTTGTGTGTCTACAAGCTCCAGAGATGGAAATCCAGCCTTGCCCACCTTATAACCTAATGGTTTCTACATCTCCCTTAATATTTTGATGGCTAGACTTAAAGAGAAGTGTAAAAGTTGTCATTAATTAGGTAAGAATCCAATAACAATAATAGGTATGTCTGCAAAATAGATGCATGTTCTAACAGATTGCTAAGAGGACAAACCAGAGAAAAGCACATAACTGTAAATACATACTTACGCATATAGTGCATATGCAAAAAAGTTATAAATACATACTATACAAATGTATATTTTGTACTAGCACGTACCAATTTCATTGAAGCCACTGTATCCAAGTTCCTGTCTACTCAGACCAAGGTTTTCCAGATCCATACACTTAAAGCCTCGGGGACACTGGTATCCTTCTCCATCTGGTGAACAATGCGTATCCGGAATGGCAAGATTATTCCAAGTCACATTTCTGGAATAACAAAAATAGAGAAAAGAATGCAGTCACGCTTACAAACACAAAACTGACAGAATTTTATAGATTAAAGGTAGCGCTGGCTCATTAAAGGCAAACTATAGTGGTTTTTAGTAATTTTTATTTTTATTTTGTGTAGGTTTTTAAACTAGTAATTTCTTTTACAATACATTTTTATTAAGTTTCAGAAGAATATACCAGAGTGCATTACAGTAATTGTTGCACATAGTAAGAGGATTAGTCATAAACAAAATATTAGTCAATTAGAAGGCAGAGCTCAATTGAGGCAAAAAAAATTACAAATTCTATAGAGTCTATATTGGTGTGCCCTGAGTGGTCGGGTTGTAGCTTGGAGTACTCACGGCTTAAGGTTGGTGATGAACACCGAAGCCTAAACATTATCTTGTGTACCAGATCTATAGAATCAAAGATTAGAAAAGGAGGTCCAGGAAAGATAATTGACAGTCAGATTGGAAAAAGAATGGAGAGGAAGGGGATAGGGCTGGATAGTTAAAGGGGGTGGAGCAAGGCAGGAAAGGAAAGAGGGGTTCCCTGGGTAGGTCTGACCCCACATACTTTAATATTCATCAATTTAGTGGCCATTGGCATTCATTTAACATCTGGGGGCATATAGTGGGTGATCCAAGTAGTCCAGATCTTATGCAATTTACACATGGAGCCATGGAGAGTTACTAATAGCTTTCCATTCACGAAATACAAAGACTTTTTCAGCTTAACCTGTACAATAGTAGGTGTGGTTGATTTCCGGGCTTTCGCTAAGGTTTGTTTAGCTGACGTGAATATGAAGGTTACAAGTTTGAACTAGGTGGTACTAATGCCCAGAGGTTTTAAATTCAGTAAAGCTTCCCAGTGATTTTTCTGGAGGCTTCTTCCCAGTACAGTGTAAATGAGTTGGTAAATGCTGAGCCAAAACTGTTTGATTTTCAGGCAATCCCACCATATGTGTAAGAGGGTGCCCACAGCTGGACATCCAATAAAACAGTTAGGGAAGGCACCTTGCAAAAAGTTGTTGAGGAAAAAATGTTGAGGAACCATGTACCATCTTAGCAGAAGTTTGTAACTGGCTTCTACCGCGATGTCCCAAATTTGGGTGCTGTCAACCCAATCGATTTGTTTCTGTAGATCCCATTTCTTTAGACTAATGTATAATAAGAGGGTTGGGCAGTGCTCTTCTAATAGAGAGGAATAAACAATAGAAATTGCTCCCTTCCAAGTAGGGTCATGTAAGCAAGAATGTTCAAATGAAGTAGTTTTAGGGAAGGGGATCTGAATGTTTAAGCAAAAATTTTACTTTTAATTTGCTAATATGCAAAAAAAAACCTCAGATGTTGGTAACTCTTGTTTTATGGTTTAAAAACTCAGAATACTGTCTGACGTAAATAGATTGTATATGCAGCACAGGCATGCCCTGGTCCAGTTTCTGAATCTTTGGGGTTCATTCTTCCTAGGAAGAAATTACGGATTGTAGGTTCTGGTGACCAAGGGGAAGTAAGGGGACATTAGACTCCCAGAATTTTTAACCAAACCCCAACAGTCTAGTAGAGTGCTTTGGAATACGGTTACCTACAGTATATGTTTGTGTCGTTATGGTAAAGAGCCATGTGCCAATCACTATGGGTGCCACTTCCATGGCTGCTAAACTCATTCATATGGGAGTGAAGGCATCAGGTGGTATGAGAGAAGCAGGGCAATTTGGACTGCATAGTAGTAGTTAGTCACATAAGGGAATGAAAGCACATCTTTGTTCTTTGACTTTTCTTTGAGACACTTGCTTTGTTTTGTCTTGCAATATATCATTGAAGAGCTGTGCAAGGTGTTTTACTAAGATTTTGGTGTACGTTTTGTTGTAAGAGGCTGTAAAGCCATCAGGACCTGAGTGTTTGTTGGACTTTAGGGTCTTGATAGTGGCCTATATTTCTAAACACAAGGGCAGATTCCCCACACGGCCACCAAGGCCATGGCCTTGGGGATTGCAGGGAGTAGAGGGGCAGCACAGCCGATACTGGCCCCAGGGATGTGGAATTCCTAACACCCGACGCCCCGGACATGCAGTTCTGGGCAGATTTTTTTTTCTACATTTAGCCATGCTGTGGACAAGGAGGGCTAAATGTACAGCGGGGAAGCTGCAACTCATTTTGTACTAGTAGTCTCAGCGATGTCGCCGAGGTCACTTGAAATAAGCCTGCAGGCCTGTCCCCCCTCCGCTGCCGCCCCCTCCATGGTCCCCCCCCACCGCTGGAGCTGTGCTCAAACTCCTGTATTGGAGGTGACAGGTTCAATAAAGAGAACCTGTCACCTCCAAATGCTATCATATAGGGACTTGTTAGCTTCTGTGTGATAGGAATAAAGTTAAGTAAAAAAAAAATTAAAAAAGAAAGAAATAATAAATAAAATATTTGTTTTAAATGTTATAAAAAAAGTTAAAAATTCCGAAATTAAAAATGATAAAAAATAATAAGATAAATAGAAATTTAAAAAAGTACAGGTGTACTATCTGTACCCCATACTGCCATCCAGTGCAGCCCTGCGCCACGGATTTTGAATTTTGCTCATTGATGAGATGTGCTTCCTAGCACAATTAAATAGTAGGGATGCACTGATTCTAATACTAGTATCAAGATTGGTGCCGATACCGAGTATTTGGAGGAGTACTGCGCTGGTGGGTGTGGGGTGGTACTGTGCCGGCACCAGGAAGGAGGAGGCAATGTGCAGCCGGACCGATACTATTATACACAGCTTGCAAAACCAACAAACAGACGGCGCCCTGTCCTCGTGTAATACAATTTATTAATCAATGAACCTATAAGCTGACATAAAATACTACTGACATGGTAATGCTAGCTAGGCAGCTTTGCGTGGGCTCTGCCTTGTACCATTCATTCAGTGATTACCATGTGAGTAGTATTTTATGTCAGCTTGTATATTCATTAATCAAGAAACCGCATTACACGGGGACAAGGCGCTGTCTGTTTGTTTGTTTTGCATGTTTTGTGAGGAATACTTCCCAGTGGCCTTTTGATGACGGCAGCCTGCAAACGATTGTTGGAGGAGAATATCATTAGGAGTCTGCTGAGCGCTGTGGTGTGCCTTTTTCTGGACTATCAAACAAAGCTGCCTGAGGTCCCCAGCAATCTCAGGACCTCAGGCAGCCGAAATTCCTACAAAACCGTATTTAATAGGGATGCACCGATACAGTTTTTTCGGTATCGAGTACCGATATTTTCTTTTTTGGTACTCGCAGATACCGAATATCGATATCGGGAGTCCCATTAAAGAAGCTGGGCGGCGCGTTAGCCGGTAAGCTGGCTCCATGTTCCCTCGTCACTGGCTTCCTGCTTGGTCGGGAAGCTGCCAATCAGGAAGCCGGGCAACGAGTCATTACCCTCCTCCCCGGCTTCCTGATTGGCCAGAAAGCCAGCTCCATGCTTCCTTGTCATTACATGCTGCCCGGCTTACTTAATGGGACTCCTGGTATCGGTATTCGGTATCAGCGAATCTATTTCCTTTTCCTCTTTTTGTCTGTTTTTTTTTTTCTTTATGCTCGCACATGTGAGCCGTTTAGTACATAGATGTTGGACAGAAAGTCTTTTATTGATATAGATATGGAGGAGATCATAACAAATGTTTGCTTCAGACATAGGTGGATCCCTAGGCCAGATATTCCTCTCAGACTGTTCTGATTTTTGATTTTGGTGATGGGGGATAAATTGGCAAGAATAGGTGGATAGATATGTTCTGTTGTACAGAACTATTATATATTGTGTGTGTATGGCCTCTAGTGATCCCCTCCTACTACTTGATTAAGCTAATGTGGAAGAAACTGTAATGCAATTGTATGCTATACTGACTGTGCATCATGTGCTATTTTATTGTTTTATTGTACTTTGAAAAATTAATAAAATACTTTGAAAGTTAAGATACTGGCGTGTATTAAAAGAGGAATTGTAGCAAGAGATCAAAGAGTAATACTTTCACTTCATAAATCATTGGTTCGGTCCCATCTTGAGTATGCGGTACAGTTCTGGTCACCGACTCCCAGGAGGGGCATCCTGAAACTGGAGAGAGTTCAGAGAAGGGCTACAAAATCAATTAAGGGGATTGAAGGCCTGAGTTATGAAGACCGCATTCAAAGTCTTAACTTATTCACCTAAGAAAAGAGGCGATTAAGAGGGAACTTTATTGCAGTCTTCAAATTCATCAATGGGTCCACAATATTAGGAACCAACTGTTTAATCCTAAAACTATATTAAGAACCCGGGGACACAACAAGAGGTTAGAGGAGAGCAGGTTCAATCTTAGAATTCGCAAGGAATATTTTACTGTGAGAGTAGTGAAGTTTGGAATTCCCTCCCACAGGCGGTGGTATCTGCTTATAATATGATAATTTCAAGAAACTACTGAATGAGTTTATTCTCGCACAATCTACAGGGATATGTAGTATGAAGTTGTAAAGCCAGACACATACTCACATACATAGATTGAACTGAATGGACCTTGGTCTTTTTTCAACTTTACATACTATGTTACTATGTTACTATGTAAGTGTCGTCTTCCAATACCACATTTTAGAATGGAACTCCTAAGCCAAGGAAGCATATACATATATGTTATAAGATTTTCCTGCCAAAATATTTATCCTTCTCTTTAGCCAGTCCTGTGATTCACATATTCCTGCCACAATGCATACCTAGGGAAGAAGATTCCCTTTTGTCTTTTACACCTACGCAGTGCAGACTGGTCATCTTGGCAGTCTTTCTGCTTTCCCCTCCAAGTGCCTGAAAACAAACTAGATTAACACCACTGTGCAATACAATAGAGCCCGTTTGTCTAAAAGGGAGGGTCGTTCGTTCTCCGCCTACATTTTAGGATTATAAAAAGCTATTAATATAAAGATACAACTAGATTGGATTAGATTTTGATATTAAGAAGGTTTTCAACCTGAACTCAAACAAATGAAAACACATTAATACACAACC